AACAGTACCCTCCAGCTCATAAATCATACAAGCTAAACAGATACTAAATAATTAATATGTTGATATCAATAATTAAAATCGCTCATCTAAAAACAAATTGTCCTCTTTAAATCTTCCTTCAGTCAAAAAAAGGGCCACAGAGCCAATCAAAAGACTATAAACTCTTTCAAGATCAAATTAAAAAGTTGTTTTTACAGTATCTTTACGGCGCATCAGTAAATCCACAGCAGTTTTGCTTAAACCTTCAATTATCGCAGAAACTATCATTATGCACAGGCGAGCTGAGGAACTGATGTTTATCCTCTTTAAAAAAATGTTCCCACAATTCATCCCGATGTTTATGTGACCACACATCTCTCGAGATGGGAGTTTGAGATGTAGGCACCTCAGGACAACACAATAGCTATTTTAATCTCACCACCCATGACTACATGAATGTGTGATCTGGTTTATACGGGAGTTTTGAAGCATTAAAGACTGGCAGACACTCTCAGAAACACTATATTATATAAATATTTAACTCTCCAGATGTCTGATATTTGGGGGATTTGCTCCTTTAATTGTTTTAAAATGATGTTGGAGAACATGATTGTTTTTGTTCAAGCCATTATCTTTATAGAGCCCCTATTTTACATTATAAAAGGTCATTTTTTGGTTTTAGGTCTCCATTAACAGGCTGATATGCATGTGAGGTCAAAAAACACTTTCCTTGTCTTATAATATGCATTTATTTTTACCTAATTGTCCATATGACTCCCATATGATTTGTTTAGCGATTCATTTGTTCCCAAACCAGCACTTTGCATCATGCTAATCTGCAGTGATTGGTACGATGACCCATTCTGCTGGGACTGGTCGACTGCATTCAACACAAGATGGTAAGAAATGCCCACTATGGCTTATCAACATTGTTGAAGTAGTCAGACTGCAGAGTATATGTGTGAGTCCAAAGCAGGAGGACATTAAAGTAATGCAGTTATATACCAGCTTATTGATTTATTCTTAACCATAATAACAATGACATACATTTAGTATTAACCCACATGGTCGCAAAAGCTGGGCTATTTTGAAACTTTTTGTAGAAACAGCTGAGTGTGGCCATAGCATCGACAAACGGTAGGGAAACACAAGCTCACAAACAAATTTCAACCGGTAAAGAAAGTGGCACACATCTCTTTTTCAACAAGCCTTTTGATGTAAAATGTAAATATAAAGAGTAAACCAGATACAGTACAAGCCACACGGATTAACTACAAGTAGCAAAACATTTAAATGCTAATAAAATGCAAAGCAATTAAATTATGGCTGTCAAAATTAGTGCGTCAACGCATGCGATTAATTTAAAATATTTAACGTAAAAAAATTACGTAAATAACACAGTTGCAGTTTTTTCATCTCCTGTTGTGGCCGAGGTGTGTTTAACATGCAAAGAAATATGGATAAGACCAAGGACGAGCTTTTAGAAGGAAAGTTTCAGTATAAAACAATAAATGTCGCATCACCAAGCTATCCAGCGTTTCCTCCAGAGTTTCATGTAATTCCGGGTGTTTCATTTTTAATCTTTAGACTTTAACTGCAGTTCAGCAGTTCACTTTCATTCAGCAGCATATAGTTCATGCCCCGTGACAATTATTGGATGAAAATATGAATTAAGGACTGCTGGAAGAGTGTTGCTTTAACAGAATTTGATACCACATGACGAACAGTAAGAAAAACCTCTGCATTTCGGGACTTGGTCCTTCAAAAATCACTACTTACATGGTAGACTCTTAACCATTACCTTAATCATAAAATCGGAGTATTGGTGTCCATAAATGTCCTCAAATGTTTTTATTAAGTATGATGTGTTTCCCCCTACACGCAACTTTTGTAAAGCATCTGCTTCATGCTGCTGTCAGAATCCTTGCTATAAAATATGCGCAATGTTCTGCGTGCTTTGTCAGTGTGTGTGTGTGTGTGTGTGTGTGTGTGTGTTTTCTAGAAACAACAGCAAACGCCTGTCATCGCTGACTGTGTTCGAAGTCTTGAGTCTTTGTTACGTGACTTTGATGTACCCCTGGGCCACATTGTCCCCCAATAATGTCAACAGACCGGACTGTTTTAGCAACTGGCTAAATATAATGGCCGACTAAGAAAAATTGTTTCTACTTTATAATTAATGTTCTCAACTCACAGCAATACAACTTTTCAGTGAGTACAATTGTTTGTATTCATTCATTCATTTTCCATCCCATCTCTGGGAAACATCCACACACACACACACACACATACACACACACACTCATACATATGGACAATTTAGCCTACCCAATTCACCTGTAACACATGTCTTTGGAAACCCCACTTGAACGCAGGGAGAATATACAAACTCCACACAGAAACGGCAACTGAGCCAAGGTTTGAACCAGCGACATAGCGACCTTCTTGCTGTGAGGCGACAGCGCTACCTACAGTGCCACTCTTGTAGTCCACTTAGCATCCAACTTGGAAATCATTTTTGTTTGTTATTGGCATTGATTGTTTTGAAATTCAAATGGCACTTACGTGGCTGTGTTTTTATTTATTTAATAAATATGGCGTGGTTTTCTTCTTATTTAAATATTTTCCAAATGATGTTTAACAGAGGAATTTTTTACATTATGTCTGATAATATTTTTTTCTTTTCGAAAAAGTCTTAAATGTTTAATTTTGGCTAGAATAAAAGCAGTTTAAAATTTTTTAAACACCATTTTAGGCACAAAATTATTAGCCCCTTTAAGCTAAAATTTATTTTCAATAGTCTACAGAACAAACCACTGTTATACAATAACTTGCCTAATTAGCCTAATATGCCTAGTTAACCTAATTAACCTAGTTAAGCCTTTAACTGTCACTTTAAGCTGTATAGAAGTGTCTTGAAAAATATCTAGTAAAATATTATTTACTGTCATCATGGCAAAGATAAAATAAATCCATTATTAGAAATGAGTTAATAAAACTATTATGTTTAGAAATTAGTTGAAAAAAATCTTCTCTCTGTTAAACAGAAATTGGGGGAAAAATAAACAGAGGGGCTAATAATTCAGGGGGGCTAATAATTCTGACTTCAACTGTATGTGTATGTGTATATATATATATATATATATATATATATATATATATATATATATATTTTTTTTTTTTTTTTTTTTTTTTTTTCATTTATAGTTAAATGGCAATATCATACACCCAGTGTAACACAACACCTGGCAAGGTGCAAGTGTTTTTTCGCTATTTGCACACCGGCGCATCTATCATTTTCATGTTTTTCACCATGTTGTTTAAATAGCAAATCCATTTCCACCACTTGGACTGTGTGTTAAGGGGTATAGTCGCACCGTTACCATTTTTAAGGTACCTAAAATAGCCTACACCAATGACCAACTAAAAGCTGGTCTAAAGTCAATGGTGCAGAGTTTTTACTTATTATTTAAAGACTGCAGTAGTTATGTGCCTGTGTGTGTCCAAAACACGCAAACACATTGCTAAATTAACACACGGGGATGTACTGCAACATAAAAATATAGTTAAATATGAAAAAATTAAAGGATTCAAATGTTACAAAAATATACATTTTATATAAAAATATACTTTTGTGAGATTTTAATCCTGTTAAATGCTCTGTTTAATATGCTTTTAAAAAGGTGTAAAGTAAAATTAAGTACACTACCTGACAAAGCAACAAATAATAACTTGACTTGTAGTTAATCATTTGTAAAAGTGGCTGAAGGTAGGTTTTTCCGATGAATCATATGTTGAACTGCTTCCCAATAATCACAAATACTGCATAAGTCCTTACATTACAAACCACAGGAGATGGCAAAGTTCTCAGCAGGATAGCTCATACTTCAGCCTCCACATCAAAGTTCCTGAAAGCAAAAAAGTCAAGATGCTCCAGGATTGGCCAGCCCAGTCACCAGACATGAACATTATTAAGCATGTCTGGGATAAAATGAAGGAGGCATTGAAGATGAATCCAAATAATCTTAATGAACTCCGGGAGTCCTGCACGAATGCTTTCTTTGCCATTTCACATGACTTTATTGATAACTGAAGTTATCTGAGTCAATGCAGAGATGTATAGATGCAATTGTCCAAGTTCATGAGAGCATAAACAATATTAATTATTCATCCCCTGCAACATGACTTTATATTCTATACTGTTTTTTTTTTTATTAAGTGACAAGACTTTTGTTTAAGCAAAGTCAGACCTTATCGTCTTAATTAAATAACTAAAATTCAAGTCATGATCATATTTTATTTTGTTAAAATAAGTGTGAGACCCTTGCCTTTCATATTAGCCACTTCTGATACCAAATTATCAATTAGAAGCCAAGTTATTATTTGTTGTTCCTAAAACTGAGATGGGCGACAAGACTTTTCTTAGGTAGTGTATGCGCAATAGTTAACATCCCAAAAAAAAAAGATGCATATTACAGGATTACAGTATGTGTTTCAGGCATGTGTGTAGTGCTTCTTTACAAACTAATATTGTCTACTATTAGCCTGGAATGCTTAATAGACTGCTTTTACATGTTCAGTAAAAACAATTACTATTGTTATCATGCAAATGTAACAACTGACTTTTTGAACCAACCAATGCTTCTATAGGGCAGCACAGTGGCGCAGTTAGTAGCAAGATTACCTTACAGCAGAAAGGTCGCTGGTTCGAGCCCCGGCTGGGTCAGTTGGCGAATCTGTGTGGAATTTGCATGTTCTTCCTGTGTTTGCGTGGTGCTCTGGTTTTCCCCATAAGTGAATTGGGTAAGCTAAATTGTCCATAGTGTATGTGTGTGAATGAGTGTGTATGGATGTTTCCCTGTGATGGGTTGCAACTGGAAGGGCATCAGCTGCATAAAACATATGCTGGATAAGTTGGCAGCTCATTTCGCTGTGGCGACCCCAGATAAATAAAGGGACTAAGCCGAAAAAAAAACGAATGAATGAATGAATGCTTCTATACTCATTTTCGGTCTACTCACATGGGGGTAGAGAGGAAAATGAAGATTCTTCCTGAGCTGAGCGACTGAGGAGCCACACCAGTCTTCAAACACGTGGAGGTTCGCTTGACCTTTAAACTGTTAAGAAAACACACAAACACACAAAGACTTCAATGATCATCAACACTTCTAAATGAAAGAAAAAGCTAATAGTGTAATGTTATGACAAACATTCTTCAATGTATTTTTTTTTTTATTCCTGAATGAGCAGTGTAAAGTAAAAACTTCAGTATGTGCCAGATGATAGAAATCTATTTCTGATACACAGCGTGGAGGTAAAGAATGTCTCTGGAATTTCTCTTTACTAAAAGTAAAGCTATGAACACACTTTTTGATGAGAAATGCAGTGTAGTTAATAAATAGTGAAGCTATTTCATAAAAAATATAGAATCGTATATGTTAAATGTAAAGATATACAGCTGAAGAGAAAATTTTTAGTCCTTTTCAAAACTTTGTATTCTTTTTCAAATATTTTCCAAGTGATGTTTAGCAGAGCAAAAAAAATAAAATTAAAATAAAAAATACACAGTATTTCCTATATATTTTATCCTATATATTTTAGTTTGACAGGAATTAAAAAAAAAAAAAAAAAAACATGAGGACAATATTATCAGCCCCATTTAAAATTCATTTTTGATTGGCTACAGAGCAAACCACTGTTGTCTAATGACTTGCATAATTAACTTAATTTATTAGTGGACCTAAGCTTTTAATTAGCATCTTAAGCTAAACAGTAGTATCTTGCTAAATAACTAGTAAAATATTATCAGGGTATGCGCTTAAAAATGTCTTAATCTCGAAAGCTAAATTTTAGGCCTTTAAAAGTCTTATACTGAAATAATTCTCTTTATTCCAGACACTAGGTCCAATAATACAAAAGACAGACAAAACAATACAAACCACACAATATACTTTAAAAAAAGGCAATTTTACCAATATTTCATTAAAGGTGACTGAAAATGCACCTCAGTAAGCCTAGGATTTATCAATAGGTTTAAAATGCTATTCTGAGAATTCTCCAACCGACATATAAACTTATAGATCAAATTTCTCCAAAAAATTTTCAAATGGAAAAATATTCAAATTTTCATGAACAGCACGAATGTGAATGCGTATGAATGTTCTGATTGGCTGGAGTATACATCTTACTTCAGCGCGTGAACGTGCTTTTTCCGTCAATTTTCCTTCTGCGTTCACACAGAGCAGCACTCTGGCAAATTGCCGGTAATTTTACAACTTCTCTTTCTGGAAAATTGCCGGAATTAATTTACAGGTACTTTCAAAAAAGGGTCTGTTCACACATACAGACCTTTCCGAAAAATTGCAGGTAATTTTCTGAAAAAGTCTCTATTTGTGAAAGGGGCTAAAGAGAAAAGTCTAGTACACTGAAACAACTTCAGTCCAGTTTTCAGATTTGAAGTTCAGTTTAGTTCAGCGTAACAAAAAATGTAGTATAAGTGTCAAATTGGTACAACCATAGCTTTATTTCAGCATAGAAATACTAGATTCATGCATCTAAGGAAACTAAAGTTTCAAAGTAGCTTCTCCAACACAGGCAGGAACCCATGCTGAGATGAACATCCACAACACAACATCACCAACTGCGCTCATCTCTTCAGCAGGGAGCCAGCGTCTTCCTGAGCAAAAAAAAAAAAAAACTACAACATACATAAATATAGCACTTCTTCAGAATTTATGAGATTTGTGGCAGAATGACACCAGGGACTGAGTCGCAAAACTACTGAAGATACCGCAAGAAGTAGGGATGTACTGACCGCTGCTGCATGACCTCAACTGGACTGAACCGTCACATTTTCATCCACAGAGAGATAAACATTAATAAAACATGACAGCAGTTTAGACAACTGGTGTTCTGGCACATTGTTCCACACGCTCAACGGAGCATCTACAGGCCCCCCAAAAAAACACTACGAAACGCACACCAGAGAACATCAGAGGTGTTACAGCCCCAAGCTAAAGGGAGGAAAACGAGAACATTTTCCAGCCGAGTAGAAAAATCCAATCGCTTCAGAACTCGCTCGTGGCATTTACTTCTGATGAAGCATGTCACAAATGATTAGCATCAGTTAGCATGCTAAAGCACGGATCACCACGCGCAATACTGAGCCCGCCGTTTTCGCTGATGTCAGTGAAAGATTTTTAAGCTGAAAAATAGAAGCGACGTATTCGCATTAGACAACCGGCTACACTTTCAGACCAAGTATACTTTATTCTCTGTATTTGGTGTCTGTCAGAAGACATTAGACTTGAGCAGTAAGAAGAGGACTGGGAGTTATTGTTTATTCCTTGCTGTTGGCGCAAAATTGATTCCTTGCTCTCCCTCTGTGAATTCTCTAAACGCGATCAATATGAAGATCAGAAGCGCAGTTCTGTTACACACCACATTTGCACACACCACAGAGCCCTGGAATAAAGGCACCTTGCGGTTGAGGTAGTGGAGGGAAAATTCATTCACTTTCATGAACTGCAAAAAAACTTCAGTTGCATCAGTTCGCAATGAATCTTTGATGAACAAAATGTTCCTGACCATCACAGTTGAGGTGAACCCGGTCAAGCCATCAATTCTGCATTCTATCTAATAGTAGTTTCGGTAACCGACCTCAGGCTCAGGATGGAAGGTTGGCATCTTGCTGAGAAAGCTTCAAGTAGTTGGTGATGCAATTTTAAGGCCGTTTCTACAAGAGTCTTCTCATGCAAAAATGAATACTGCATAAGTACAGCCGAGACCAAAAAAAAGAGAAGAAATAAGATCACTTGAAATTTTGCTGTTTCCTTGGATTGACTGGAATTCAGAGGTATGGGTTTAAGTAAAATAAATATTTTTGTGTAATTCTTTAAAGTTGCATAATATTTCTTTAAAGTTTCAAATCAAAATATTACCATTTAGAGCAGGGGTTTCAAACTTATTTTTAGTATTGGGTACCGAAACTCTTTTGTTCGGTATCGGTGCTAATTTATAAAAGACCAGAGTATTGATAAGCTCTGACGTAAGCGGTTCTGCTGTCAGTACTGGAGAATTATTGCTGAATAAACATTACTTAAAGTAGCATAATTTAACTAAGCAACCTTTTCTAATTTGAGATATTTGATATTCATCTACACAGTCAACAATCTCACAGGAAAAATGCTTGTGTTTCCGCCGAGAGCGTCAAGTATAAAAGGCTTCACAGTTCTCGGCTGTGTGTGCGCTCGCGACACAGACTCGCGCTTACACAGCTCGTAAGCTTACGCAGTGTAAGAGAGAACCAAACGGGTTGTATTTCAGTAGTGGATAGCGACAACACTCGTTGCGAAACAATTTGTTTGCTTGTATAAGCAGGAAGGCAAGCAATCTGGCTAAGAAAAAGTATCTTTAACTGCATTGCAATGTTTTGACTGCCTAGCTACTAACGGTATCTTTAAATCATCCACATCATTATGCCAGCAGTCAATCACCTAAAGTAGTATAGTGTTAATATTAGTATTAATAGTTAAATAAACACACACATTCGGTTACAATGAAAACAGTACTTTTTTCGGCAGTAGCCAAAAAAAAAAACCTTAAACATTAAAAATGCTTTTACATCAGCTGTTTTTACAAACATAGCCTATGAATAGCCTAATAATAAAGTATGCTTAAGAAATAAGCATCACAGCATGTTTTTTTACATTGCAAGACTGTATTAAAAACTCTATTAAAAACACTGTTTACTCCCAAAACACTGTTAACTAGTTGTGTAATGTGTTGATGTAAATTCATAAACATTATCTGATTATTTAACTGCATTTTGCAACTGAAAGAGGGTTTTTATTTCAACTTCAGGGAGCCCAGTAAACCAAGAAAGATCTCAACTTCTGCCAGAAAAGTCAAACATGTTGATTTTTCTCCAGAAGAATAGTTAAAAACTGAGAGTCATTGTCCTTTAAACTATTGTACATTTTTGTACAGGCAAAATTTATTTATTTGTTTCCCAATTATTGGTTTTGATTTATTTTACATTGAAATCTTGATAACAAAATAAAGTTTTTTTTAAAAATAAAGTCGTTTTTTTTTTCTTCTTACAAATAACACTTCAAAAAGTATCTATAAGAGAACAGTTAAAATATCGAACCGATAAGTGGTATCAATAAAAGTAGTAATAACTTATGACGTTAAAACCATTTCATTGAAGAAATGTCATCAGTAGTTAGTCAATTAAAACACGTAACTATAAAACATAAATGCCCATTAACAAAATGGTCCTAATTATTCATATTTTCATATAAGTTCATATAATTCATACTTAATATAACTTTTATTCAACCAGCAAGATTTTTTGGACTGGAAATGACACAGGCATCTCCCAAATGATAAAAGACAAAAGATACTGTAATTAATGCTCTTTGCAAACTGTCACAGTGCATGGAAAAATCCAAAGTTTCATTGAGAAAAGCTGTTTTAATCAACTCAACACTGCCCACACTGTGGAAGAACTCAGCATGGTTGGAAACCAAACGTGAAACCAGAGAAAAAATGGTTAGCAGACAAAAACATTAATGATTTGCAGTGGCCTAGCCAGAGTCCTGACTTAAACCCAATTAAGAATCTGTGGAAAGATCAGGGTTACTACAAGGAGACAGTCCAACCTGAAACCATTTTAGAAGAAAGAATAAATTCAAACTGTTTCGTGACAATCACAGAATATTACATTTTGAGTGAACTATCCCTTTGACTCGTTCTGATTTGGATTGTAATAAAAAAGGTGCACCTTTTGTAAAGCTTTAAAATTTATATATAAGCTTGTAAAGCTTATGGAATATATAAATATATAAATAAATATATTGTGAAAAGCGCTATACAAATGAACTTACACGGGATTGAAATGAATACTGAAAGTAGTGAACATATGTTGATAAAAGATCACATCTATTTACATACGTTTAACGTATTACGCTCTGCCTTAATTTCTGCTTGGAGAAATTACAGTTGACAATGTGTACAGGAATAGTCTGAAACTAGTTTCCAGTTTATACACACAACCACAGGAAATGACATAAACTTTAAGAATGGGCACTTTGATTCAAATCTTGCAGTTTTT